CCTGCTGAGCAGCTGGATTTTATCCCAGATCCTGTGAATTTCACACAAGATCAGATTCTCACAGCATGGATTGCTAAACTCCTGGCATTTCTTTAAGGTACACAATAAGCGCTTGCTGTGCAGGACTCACCAACGCAGGGTGTCCCAGGTACAAGGAAGCTTTTAGACAACAGAAAATTACACACGTTGAGATTTCCTTGAGATATCTTTGGTTTCTGTACATAACATAAAATCCATTGGTTATGGCAGCCACACAGGAACTCCCAAACAAGTCCTGGGTGCATTTCACTGCGGTTTGAAACGTGGAGCTCTTCTCTAAATCCTCTGATCTCTTTTCTCTTGTGGTTCCCAAAGGTCTCGGTATCAGCGGGTGCAGATAAAGCGTGACTCAGTGTTCAGCTATGGTGCACTGGGGATCTCTTGTAAACAAGGAATGTGAGTGTCCAGTTCACCACATACAAACTGCTGAATTCCTAGGGTTTGCAACTCGGAGCTAAGGAGATCGCTGGATTCTCTGAGCCCTGTGATACCAGACACCGAATACCAAAACCACGGGTCATTGAGAAGGAAAGCCTGAAAATCTTGTTTTATACTGTCAGCAGAGGAGCACAGCTACGGGGAGTAACTGAGGAACGTCACTGTTCTGCCAGGGGAGCGACCTCGCAGCAGCCGCGTTTTCACGTTGCAGCTCCCGCGCGCTTTGCTGCCCCTTGCACGTCTGTTCCCAGGATAGACCGTGGCCTTCGTCCCCACGGTAAATACAGCACCAGATCCTTTGTACAAATTAAAACTGGCAAATTCCATGTGTTTGATGTCATTTGGCACCCTGCACAACCCCCCTTCAGTTTGTCAGAAATTCCTACACCAGAGCAAGGTCACATCTGGTAGCAATTTCAGCCTGCCAGATGAGGCGTAATCCTACAAAACCAAGCTCGTTTTCTCCAGCGCTTGTCAAAGATGAGCTCTCCTGCTCCTTTTCCCCAGGCGGCACCGCTTGCCCGGGGAGCGCAGCGCAGTCGTTCGGGCTGACAGACTTCTCACACTTTGTAAACTGCAGGTTTTGGAGCGCAGCTTCGTATCCAGTCCACACAGACAGCACAGTGAGTGGCAGCCTGGACGTCGTCACACAACGGCCTGTGCCCAGAGTCGCTTTTCTTTCACCGTAGGGTGCAGTAATCGTGTTCTGTCTCAGTGTGTTGATGCACATGGACCTCCTCGTACCCTGAGTAACCTGTCATATACCACATAACTTCTAAAGGATCCTTGGACAGCTCCTCTTCTGCTCTTCTTTTAGGTGCTTTTAAAATAGTTACAGGAAAAGTTGAGGCTCAGGTAATTCAAAATATGAGATGCGCTAACAAAGCGATGGCACGAGGATCAATCTTTGCACAGTGTAGTAACTGGAAATAGCTCTGATTCCCAGGGACAAGGAAGTTTAATGGTAGTCCATCCTCATGGTATCATCTCATTGCCTTCATTGCTTCATGCTTTCAAAGCACTGTGTGGAACTTGGTGATGCACTTTGTCTAAAGGAATATCAAAACAGAGCGGACTGGTGGGATCATTTAAATCACAGAGGGGGGTTTTGGTGAAGTGGTGATGTAATGTGGTATGAAATCAAATTAACGGAACTTAGGCAAACAATATTCCTTCAAGGTTTCCTAGGCATTGCACAAGGGCCTCTAGTCCTGTTTTTACAAGCACATGCTACTGGGTTTGCATCTGAGGACCAGCTTGAAGTATCTCTTGATACCACAGGAATGATGCTAGAAAAACCCCAAACCATCAAAACTGTAAAAACCCCAAGCATGTCAGAATTTTAAACAGTTAATATTGTTGCTCTTAAGTATTACAAATGCAAGCTAATAAACTCCATTGCAGCTGGAAAGCACTGCTAGAAACCACCTTGTCTGCTCTGATTTTGCTGACCTGCTTTATACCCTTTTTGAACCTATTTCTAGGACAAATATCCTGATGTTGTGAGACTTCCAGAAGGGCTGCTGGGAGATGCCATCATCCTAAGGAACCCCAAACCTTCTGGGTAAGCCAATAAATAAATGTCTTGATTTCTGCAGTTCAAGAATTGTGAAATGCTTAGTGACAATCTATACGTAATGGGTCTGCTTGAAGAGTAAGTCACTCTTTGCTTTGTAGCAGCTCCAGACGCAGACATGAGATGATACCTGTTAGCATTTAGGGCTGCATCCACACATTTAAGAACATGGGAGAAGCCAGACGTGTACGTACAGGCCATGTGCGTGTGGCCTTGTTAGGTCAGTTGGTTTTATTGCTGCTGTGCGTATCTGCTCTTTTAAAAAAAGCCAGGTAGAAAAAAAATCACAGGGCTCTAGCAGGCTTTTCATTTTAAGAAACAGAAACCTCGATTCCTATCTTTGTTTTAGAAGCTCGTGCTGCAAAGAAGAGTCCAAACTCGAAGTTTAGGAATGCGGGATGCATCCTCCCTCTCCCACACCAGCAAACGTGCCAGGTTCAGCTGGATTCGCTCCAGCTTGGTTTTCTTTCTGCATTACATGCAACAGGGTTGGGCCCCTGGGAGGTAAAGCAGATTTTTCACCCCTGGGCCTGAAGGAAGCAGCTCGTCCCTTCTCGCAGGCGAAGGCCACGTGGCAGCCCTCAGCAGCACCTCATCTCTCTGGTGTGGAGGAGGAGGAGCAGCGATCGCAAATCACTGAGGCACAGCACAGGCCTTGGGTCTTCTGACCATTAAAGAATGGAAAGAAAACAGCAGTTACCGTGTTACTGACAGCAGGCAGAGCTGCTTTTCCATTGTTTCCAAAGGGAATCAGGCAGATGAAGGAGGGGATCGCTGCGCTGCCATTTATTATGGCTCTACCACACACACAGGAGTTGTCTGGGCTGTGTGCTGGCCAGGTTCTGAGTTTGGGAGTTTTAAATTGAGTAAAAATACCCTTGAAGTTGCATGCAAGACAATATCATTACCACTGCCAGGATTTCTGTAAGAAAAGTGACTGTTCTGGGAAGGGATCAGGCCATTCCCTCCTTGTTACAGCTGTGCTATAACAGGCTTTACTTTATATGGAAACCAAGGGAAATAAAACATAGCTCCCTCCCTCGTAACTGATTGTGGAACCAGCAAATAAACCGTAATAGATGATAGTGCTGGCTCAGTTTAGCCAAAGCTGCACTTTAAAACAAAACGCTGCCACTCTGGGTTGCTGAAATGAATTGCTGTGAGCCCAACGGTCAGAAAATGAGCTGCTTTGTTTTACAAGATCCATTACACAGCCCCTCTGTGCCCAGAGTCATCAGATACAAGAATTTAAAACCACTTCAGAGGGTTGGTAGAAAATACACTTGCATATTAATTTATTTGCAAAATACCAGAGCAAGCTGTGCACAAATTCTCAAAGGTTTTTTTTTAACAAGAAGGCTGACAAGTGGCATTAACAGCAAATTTATGGTCAGACACTGAGAACCAGAGCTTCCTCCTCACAGCGACTCACGGCTGTGCCGATCAGCTTTGGATTAGGAAAGCTTCACTTTCAGTAATGAGTTCTCCTAAAAGCAGGGATAGGAGGGGGATGCTGAATGCAGGAAAGGAGCTGGGATGTTGTAAAGCAGCAGCGGTACCGTGAATGGTACCTGGGCTCAGCTCCGTGTGCTGGGCTAGAGAAACTGCAGGCACCAACAGCTGCTCCTTGCTCACATAGCACGTTCACCAAGGAAATAATAAATAGCCTTGCAAAAACCACCAAGAACATTCTTGAAGCAGTAATGATGGTTAAGATTATATTAATTAAAACCCTCAAACAATAAAAGCAAACCAATGCAGGAATCCAGGCCTCGTGCAAATTGATCCCTGTGCGTTAATCTCAAAAGGCCGTGACCGACATCGAGGGGAACCTCGCTCCAAACCCAGAACGTCCCTAGTGATGCAAAGACGTCTGAAGCCCTTTTCCTCTGTTTCCATGCTGTGTCTAGCACAGGGTGCAGAAATTATGTACGGGGTGGGGTGAGGGAAATGTTCTCTCCTTCTTTTTGTATCTCACTTTGCTTTTTACCAGCGTTCCGTGCAACCTTACCCTTCATAGGAGACAAAGAACCAGGGAAAAAATGTGGTTGAAAATATGAATTGCCCCAGTAATGAAGTAATAACTTTTCTTGGCAGTGGCCTACCAGTTTTTCTTGTGTCGGTATTGTTATTTTAAGTAGTTTTTAATTATTTGTTATTTATTTGTAATATTATTTATTTAAGTATTAATTCTCAACTATAGAGCTGGAGAGGTTGCATTACCTGACATGAATTTTGTTTAAGAGCAGAGCAAGTGTGAGCCCCCTCAATCCTGTGCTTTCTGCTGCCAAGAAACCCTCACGACAGTCGCCTGGTTAACCCTGAACTAACTTTTCTGTGCAGGTTTGAATTAATGATCGTCTGGAAGATCCATCTCGATGAAAAAGGGAGAACTACGCCTGTTCTGGACCTTCTGACTAAAGTACCAGAGCAAGGTAATGTCGCTCACGTCACAGCCTGGGTTTGAGCTTTCACACAGAACACCCGTCCCCTTTTTTTATGGCCAACATCTCTTTAGATCAAATGGAAATCCCTTCTGCATTTTGCAGAGGGCAAAGAATCCCAACGTAGCAAGCAGCCAAGCTTCACCTCCTGGATAACTGAAAAGGGCTCACAGAACGAGTTACGTCTCCCTCTTCCTGGCAGCAGATGACCTGTGCTACGCAGAACTGCCGTGCTGACAGCTCCTGCCCCTGCAACTGCCTGAAAATAACGTTGTGTGTTTTGTTTTCCCTGCAGTCCTGGGGCAGAAGAAGGCAGCAATTGAAAATGCCCCCGGCCACTTCCGAAGTTTGCTGCTGCTGCTTGGGATTGAGGCAGCCATCGAGAACCTGATCAGAGCGGTCAGCTTGGGACAGTGAATAGCAGCACGAGTTACAACAGGTAGCAATTTCAAAAGTAGTTTTAATTAAGATATTGTGTTACACAGTCTATAATTTTATTGAATATAAACATTAAGTTATCTTTCCATTTAGAAACCATACTCATAAAACATGCTATCTGTACAATTATGGCACGTTATATATAAATTGTCATGACATGAAAATAAATACAGCCATTTAAATACAAAAATGCCAAATAAAATAGTTACATGTACAGAGTGATTTCATTATAAATTTCTCTTTCTGAATCATTACTGTACCAGAGTGGTTTGTCATCCTAACACTTCTGAGACACCTGGAAAGCATTAAAAGATCATGCACTGTCAAAATCAAGTCCATAAAAATTCATTTCATTTCACAGCTCTGGAGAAGTACAGTGATTTTAAAATGACAAGAGAACAGTGAGAGACTCCGCGAACAAAGAGGTCAACAGCTTCCTCATGAAATTAGGGTGGGAGCAGAAAATCTGGCGACATACAATGCAAAACAAAAACAAACCAACAAAAAAAAACCTGTATAAAGTAACTTTTTTCCACAACAGATTGAGTAGAGACAGCACTAAAGTAACCAAGGAAGGACCATGACACTTCCCTAGAGAGATGGATGAGTTACCTCCTGCTCACTGCAGCGCTTTGCTTCCATTTCCTACTTCTAGGGGGGGAATTCTCTTGTAGGTAACACGTTGTGAAAGCATCACATTTCATATATTCATCCCTGAAGAAACACAAACGGATGACACAGACGCCTTGTGATCTTCCTTCGCTCCCATCAGCGGTACCAGGAGCTCACCTGTGATCTCTCAGCAGTTTTCTAGCGGCCCTGCTCCGTGCTGAGCTCCCACAACCAAACCTGTACCATTCATTGGCAGTCACAGACTCCTCGAGGAGGGAGCACCGGTTGCTCCTGGAAACAAGGGGCCAAAACCACCACATGTGGACTCTTGGGTCACAGTCAGAGACTTCACAGCAGCTCTAACCATGCAAGCAGTGCAACCGCCTGCTGGTTGTAAGATATGACAAAATATTTTGTAACAGTGGTGATACAGGTAGAGAAACCAAGAACTAAAGCAACAGTGTGTGTATGACACTATCATTGCAATAATCCACTATTTGACGACTGCAGTAGTCTCCTACTGTTCTGGTGGGTCAGGAAAAGCTGGCAGATGAGACTGGTTTCTGTCAGAATCTACAGCTGAGCAATGCCAGAGATTAAGTTTTGATGGACAGCAACTCTGTAATGAAATAGCTCGTCAGATGTAAGGCAGACTCATTTCAAGTTTGGAATCCAGTAGACAGGCAAAATTCATTGCTAGTTCATCCACTGACACATTACTGGTTTAGCTACTTCTGTGTAACCTTTAGTTTCTTTCATCTTTAGCTCCTTCTTGCATGAAATCATACATGAAACGTGTAAAGTTACAGCATAAACACCTGAAACCTCTCCAGCTGTGGCTACTCCTTCCTTTCTCCTCTTAACAGCTGGGAGATTTCTGCATTTACAAAGAGCTCTCTGCCCCCAGGTTTTCTCTGGGGAGAGGGGGTTGTTACCACTGCCTGCACCGCGTGTCAGCGAGGGCAGCCCAGGACCCTGTCCCAGAACGGCAGCCGTCCCCTGGCCGTGGACACAGAGCTCACTAACGGGGGTGACCCCCACAGCACAGCTCTGCTGCTGCGCCAGCAGCATCTCCTATTTCTTCCTTGCGTTGTGCTCATATACAGGGTTTTCTGGCTCTGCTTTCTGAGTATCAGGTAAAACAGAACAATTTTAAAGTTACACTGAGATCCCAATATAAATAATTTATTCCAATGTTAACCCACGTTGTGTGCAGGTAACAGCAGTTCACTGCAGCTTGAACAGCATCTCTGCACGTTTCAGGGTGTGCAATCCCCAAGTGTATGGGAAAAATCACCTGTAGATTTTATGACACTACCCTCAGTTTTGAACACATCCTCAGCCTCCAACTCAGGATCTCCCTTGATGGCTTGTACTGCAACATCTCACAAGGCCCCGGCTGCACACAGCGATGTTTACAAAGTAAAGCCACTGTTCAGTTGCTGAAGCAGTGATACAAGCTTAGCTCCAGTGCTCAGCACGAGAAAGTGACCCCTGCAGCTTCAGAAAAGAAGAGCTGATACTGTCACCTTTTTTCTGTGTCCCTTACTTAAAAGGAAGGAGCCTGAAACCAGCTGATCATGCGATGCAGTATGTGGGATATCAGGGAAATAATGCCCACATCTTACACAGTCTGAAAGACCCCAAATAATCTGTAAAACTCAGAATGCATTCTTCTTCCAGCTCGATTTAAATCAGGTCAGAGCGAGCTGTGGTTTCTCCTTCAATAGCAGCACATAATGTAGAGAAAAGAACAGAAAGACCAGGATGTCGGGTGAGTTAAGCCCAGCCATCACACACAGTTCACAGACCGTTACCTTTAGCCTTTTTCACTTGGTTTCAGAAGCTTTAGGTACTACCAGGTGATCACAGACGTTCTGGAGGAGGCAGCCTGGTGGGCTGAATCTCACACACTGGTACTCCAAAGCGTTCTGCAGTACCATGGTACCTCCACAGATCACAAACACTCCAGTAACCACCTCAGCTGTATTTTCAGTGGACTTAATGCTGAAGTTTTCCATTAGGTTTTGTCAGAGCGGTCCCTCTTCCTAGCAGGTACAAGCAAGACTCAAAGCACGAGCTCCAAGGCAATTCTCTTGTTAGTAATCAGGTTTTCTATGTTAGTGCAATACTTCAGGAAACCTTTAATTCTGTGCTCTTTCAACTCTAAGGAAGTAGATTTTTAGTATTAATGTGATCTGTCCTCTAGTTCCAAGGTATGGCACGTTATCTGTCCCGTCACATTAAATACATTCATTTAGGTTATATAGCAAATGCGTGTTTTAGTGCTATTCCATGTCTTTGAAAAGGCATACCAATTAGAGATCATTAAAGCAAAAACATTCACAGCTGAAAAAATGCACTGAACACAATAGAAAAAAACATAAATCACCATAATTGTATTCCATTAATCTTTCACTTTCTAATGTGTTCAAATAAAAATAACCTTAAGGAGGTTACACTTTATGGAGAACTAACGTGCAGTCTTCATTCTCCTTGAAGAGACTGGACATGACTGGGTCGTCTTTGGCCTGTACGTTCTTCAAATAATAGTTTACGATCTTGCCATCGAGTTTGTACTGATGAGGAATGCTTTCGTATGGTTTTAGGTCAAGGTCCAGGACAGAAACAGAAAAGGTGAATCTTGACTTGGATGTTAGTACCACGGGTCTCTGCTCAGAGCTGGAAAACAGAACCACATTGCACATCTGGGTCCCTGCAAGTAACGTTTTTCATCTGTGTATCCTGAGTCCCCTCGCAAAAGTGGCTCTAACGGTTATCTTATAACTGTCACGAGAACCTAAGAAATAATAAAGATTTCTGTTTCCTAACTAGGTGGTTAAAGGCCACTCATCTCTCATATGAGGACACCAAGGCAGAACAGTTGTACCCAACTAAAACCATCTACTGTGAAGAGTCAACTCAATTTTCAAGAAGGGAGTAAATATAAAAACTTAGCCCTTGTTATCAACTTCAAACTCTTCAGAAACAGAGCTCTGTCCTAAACATCTTCAATCAGAACCCCACCTCATTAACACGCTCACAGCCAAATACCTGCACACACCGCCCCAAAACCGCTGTCTCTTACCACTCATCTTGTAGGCAGGGCGAAAGGGCAATCATGATGGAGCAGTCTTTTGCAGTCATTGCTATTCTGTACTGCTGCACCTGTGCAACAAAAAGTAACAGGAACGTTTCGGTGTATTTGTATATGCCTTAGGAAAGCACACAGCTCCTTATAAAAGGCAGCAGCACGCTCAGTATCTTAGTCTGGCAGCGTTTGAAGAGCTGGAAATTCTCTCTGTAACAGATAGCAGGAGCAAGTGGTTTCACAGCATCCTGTGTAAGAATCTCATCTATTTCCTACAGATACTTGACTTGAAAGCCAAAACAGCACCAGTTCATGCAAACAATTCCTCAGCCTGGAAAGAAAATAACCAGCTTTATTTTTCTCTCAAGAACTGGTGCTAAACCTGTTTGTTTTTAACTGCTTCTGCTATAAAGATACCCCTGGCACAATTAAGGACAGTGCTGGTGGCTTGTCAGAGGTCTGTGTGGTTGATGCTAATGTGTGATTTCCCCCAACCCCCATTTCCTTTAGAGAGGTGTTTATTAAAACTGAGACCAAATAAGCGTCAACAACACGTGCAGGAGCAGTACCTTGGTTAACGCGAATGCTACTGTCCCGTCATCTTCACTTGACAGATCTAGCAGCTTCTCATAAAATGCTTCATTGTAAGGTCCATCTATCTGTAACGTACTTCTAAATGAATTAAAAAAAGGATATTTACAGCCAGCCAGAAGGATTTACTGATTTTCAGTGAGATCTTTCTTCAGCAGCCCCCATCTCAAGATCAGAACAAACCAACACTAACACCAATCAACATGGCAACACATTAACACTCAGGTGTCTCCCACCACAGCCTGCCCTGCTGTCCTCAGATCTCTTGAGGTTTGCTGCTGCTTAGGATGTGAGTTGGATTGTTTTTAAAGGGTGAATCACTCTTAGTCCATGCCACCTTTGTAGCGCTACAAGCACAGTTTGTGGTGTTGGCTTTTTTTAAATGGGAAAGCTTCAAAACTGGTAACAGTTTGCAGGAAGTTTGCTGCAAACACTGGGGCTGCACACTTACCTGACAAGACCCTGCTCTGCCCGCAGCTACAACGTTGGTGTGCTGACCAGGGAACGCTTTATTTGGCCTCCTGCCTTCCCACGGTAAATACCTGAACTCCTGGAAAGCTGAACCCATAAAAGGGGGGGTTTGCAATACTCAAACACCCCACAGATGACAGAATACGGTTTCAAATTATTTGTTTAATGTATAGATACAGAGGTAAGCCACGCTGCAAGTGATTTAAACAGAGCTTAAGGCCAAGCTGTTGCCCATGAGAGAACTCAACTCCCAAGGGGGGCCCAA